GACTATCGGCAAATACGAGTTCAAGAACTGGGGCTCTCATACAAACTCTTACAATGATTCCTATATAACGGCCGCCGCAGCCATTGGTGTCACTAAAGACGATATTAATGTTTTCATTAAGAAATTATACTCTATTTTAGAGTTAATGCTTAAAAAGCAAAATAATTTGATAACAAATTGCGAATTAATACCAAATAAAAAGCTTTAGTTTTTAATATATTTTTTATACAAATAAAAAGTTATTCCATTAACTGAACGATAGCTTAAGTTTCTTATATCGATCTAAAAATAAATTAATCCAAGAGTTTATGTCTGTATGAATGGGTGAGCGTTTGCGCTGTGATTGTGTTTTGTTCATCATTTCTCATCAAATTAATATATTTTGTTTTTTAATACCTATAAGTTATAGGATATATAAATTATATAATATAATGGTAATTGTTTGTCTTATAGACATTTGATATCGCAATAGTTGTGCAAAAAATGCAATTAAATGTATTGATCACTTTGACTGCATTTGTTTGCATCGGATCTGAAGGTGTGTATAGTTTTGAATGAACCCAAAATGTGAAAGAATGCATCGATTAATTCACATTTAAGCATGCATCATTATGTAATGCATTATTGAATACTATTTTAAAACAAATTAATGCCTACAGAAACGCAAGTAAAGAAAGATGTATCGGATGTGTACAACATATACACCACTCAAGCGTTTTACGTTCAAATACCTACGGATGCGTTGAGCAAATCTCTGGCACCAATAGATGCCATTGAATTCATACCATCCATACTGGGAATGCCTGATCTGCCCGTTTGGATGCAATACAAACACGTGAATCACAGCCAAAAGGCATACCTCTACGGCTCACCCGCTCTCGACGACGACCGCGACATCGAAATAGAAGTCATTTCTATAAATCAATTCAATTACGAAACCCATAAACAAGTGATGAAATTTCGTGTCACTAAAAGAGAAAGTATGCATTCATTTCAATTCTTTCGCTCAATAGCCGTATATATCATACAAAACATGCTTTCATTTAAATTAATGAATTCAACAATAATGCTATTCATTCCGTATTGAATATGAGATATTATTCATTACATTTAGGAATTATCTACAAATAAATATTTTTGTGTATTTTATATGAGTGTTGATCTCTTTTAATGAATTCATTAATAATTATAAATTAATACCAAAACATATTATGATCTCTAATTAAGTTGCTTTTGATATTTGAAATATAATTAGATTTAGTTTAAAAATTATTTTAAACCTTATTATAAAATTGAATAATAAAGTGCTTATTAGTGGCAACTCTTCTTTTTTTGAATGTTTAAATATTTATTAAGTTTAAATATCAATACATTATTCTCACAATAATTAATGCAAATTTATTTTTATTTTACACTAAATATATCTAAAATAATTTTTATAAAGGGGTAAAATATATGCAATACAATAAAAATATAAAGAATTTTATAATTCATACTGAATATTTCAATATTCATAATAATAGTGATTTCTAGGATTTCTCACAATCCCGATTCTAACTTGATTTTTGTCCGTGAATAACATTAATACAGTATACAGTATATACGCCTCTTCTCAATTAAATGTTTGTGGGTTTAAGATTTTATTACTGGTAATTGCATCTATATACTTAATCTACATAATAAATGATCAATTAATATAAATTATTTATTTATAGTTATGTTGTGATGAATTGATTAATGAAATGGTAATATAAGATATTATATTATATCTTCTATTAGTTTTTCTATACAAAGGTATTTTGCATTAAT